CCGGAGCGAAGTACAATTTCAGCATCTCTTGTTCTCAGATGTGGGAGCTCAGTCACCATGGAACAGCAGCAATTACACGGTCACCAGCAGGTACTGATCTTTTCCACTCCTTGCCTAATTGAGCAGCCTCAGCTAGCGCCAGGAAATTAAATTTACCCCATGTTTCCCTTAGTTAAAACTTCACTGTACACTCAGACTTTTACTGTCTGATCTTAAATCTGGTACCTTTCACCCTACTCTTTTCACCCATCTCTTGCATGCCTTCATGCACCATCTTACTTTGTTCTAATTCTGGCACACACTTCTGAGGATGTTCTTAATGTTCCCTATGACTTAGCATCCAACAAATCTCAGCATGATCTGTAATACAGTGGTAGAAACCGCTGGAGTTCTGCTGTGAGCTCCCTCCCCAGTTCAGGCTCCCCGATACAGGTGGTGTAAGGCCTACTATTCTTGGGCCAATTAAGCTTTAAATAAGTCGATCTGTAATCCATTGCACTTATATATATACATATATACATTTATAAATATATATATATATTTAATAGGACAGAGAGATCATAACTACTGCAGATGTCTGAAGAAACAACGTTCTTATACTATGGGGTAATATTTACCCACTTCCCTTTCTCATCTGTGAGCATGGTTTTTCAGATGCACTCTTTCTCCAGAGTTACTCATACATCTTAACTGCACAATTTAATAATTTTGGTACTGTACACTATTCCTTATATTGCTAGTTATACCAAATTTTTCTACCTCTCTTACAGTGCTCTTTATGACACTCCATTTTATATATTTTCTGCATGTCCGTTATGGCTGAAGTCTTTGCATATTTAGCTAAGTTTAGAACATCTTGTTTCCAGCCTTGTTTCAGAGATTAGCTTTTCTTACTAAAATATTACAATTTTATTTCAGGACAGCAGAGCACAGTATAGACATGAATGGGAAGAAGAATGACGAAAACTGAGAAAATGAGAGAAGGGGAAAGAAGGATGACTGAAGATAGGTATGTAAGAGTCAGAGTGAAAATTTAGGATTTGGTCCATTCCCCTAAATCTAAAATACTTTGCACGTGGTAGAGAGAGAATTTGATCAACAGTTTTGCTCATGGCCATCTGTATTCTGATCTGTACTGCCTTAGGAAAATTCGTATGTGAACAGTGTGGAAGGGAAAACAAAGATATGAACTAGATTGAAGGAAGGAGTAGAGATTGAGTCAGAATGAAAAGAAATAGCATATTTTAAAGACATGAATGCAAAAGGACAAAAGGGTAAAGAAAAAACAGTACTCTCTTAAGAAAAGAGTTCTGACAAAAACAGTTTAACCAGAACAGGCAAAGTGACCATTTTGAGAAATTGAACAATTCTGGAAACATAAAACTGTGGAAATGCAGGAAGACAATGAGATTTTTTTTCTCATTGTATTCTAAAATATTAGATGTTAATGCCACTCATAAAGCAGTGAACTGTACACAAAAGTGTTATTTTATCTGTGTCAACCTATGCAGGGAAACAGAGATCAGCAGAACTTTAAAAGGGAGATACAAGTTACTCTGACTTTAATTTTCTTTGAAAAGCATGGTCACTGACCCCTTAAATCACAAGCTGATTATAAGCATTGTAGTGCCATTATTAATTACATGTAGAGCGCGTAAATTTAAAATGGCAATTTCAATTTTCAGTTCATTTAGAGAATACAGAAAACAAAACCGCATACTAATTAGTTCATGAGTGTAAGACACCTGAAGGATTAGAAAAAAATAATCTGCACTCTTTGCAAGTTTTAAGTGAAGCACTCAAGCCTTTCATTTGTCAAGCTACATATAAATAAAGAAATTAAATGATAGAAAAATGGTAATGGAACAAAGTAAAAATAGGCGCAGGCCCATATATAATCATACTCTGTGGGATATAACTGCTTCCTTTAGAACTTATTTAGCATTGGAAATTGTAGTAGAGTAACAGGCTACTGTGTCAGGTTCACTGCACTAAATGTTAATTTGCATCCCCTAAAATTGCATTTCTGGTTTCAAAAGTTTCCACTCACTCTGTCATACATTCAGGCTGTTTTTCAAGAGCCATACTCAGGACCTGATGCTCCATCTCTCACATCAATGTGGAGAAGGTCCCAAATGCAGACCCTCCATATTAGGACCCAGGAGGAATCTGGTTGACAGGAGCAGTTACTCCACAAGACCAAAGGAGAAATATCCACAAACTTGGTACAAATGTGAGTATTCTGACTGAAGAAGCATCTCTCTGGCCGTTACAGATGCTGACCACACACATATATATATGTGTTGTATGTATGTTGAGGAAGTATTACTTTTCAGAAAGGGTGGTCAGGCACTGGAATGGACTGCCCAGGGAGGTGGTGGAATCACCGACCCTGGGGGTGTTCAAGGAAAGACTGGATGTTGTGTTGAGGGACATGGTTTAGTAGGAGCTATTGGGAATAGGTGAACGGTTGGACTGGGTGATCTTTTAGGTCTTTTCCAACCTTAGTGATTCTATGATTCTATGATTCTATATATATAATATATATTCTGTGATTCTGTGATATATATAATATATATATATATATATATATATATAGGATACATATAATATATATATATAGGATTTCTGGGTTTTTCTTCTCTCAGCAGAAGCTGTTCACTCTTACAGGTGACAGACAGTACCTGTCTTTTAGTGTGTACTGCATTCTTGAAGAATCAGACAGCGTTCTAGTGTAAAGGACTACTTCACAGTGCCTAAGTGTCAGTTTCTGAGGTACTCTATCCTTCTCAAATCAAAATCAGGTTTCTCCAGAACTACTTTTCCTCTACAAGTATCATCTCTGTACCAAAGTAAGATTTGCTGACCCCACGTGCTTCCAGAAGCAAAGTAAAGAAAAGAACAATTCTCTCAAGATATAAACTTACTTTTCTTCGCAAAGAGTATTTTTCTTTTTGTTCTGAACTCCGGTAAAAATATTGGCAAATGCTTCAATAATTGTGAACAAAAGTTTACTTTTAAGGAAATATGAGAAAAAAAAGGAATGATACTGCTTACTACACATCAATTATAACAGTTAATTAGATTTTAGTAAGCAGATTTTACATACTATAATTGTCAAAATTAGAGAATAACCCAAAGATGATTGGCGCTACTTAGATTGAGACGTTAAGTCAAAAAATCTGCAGTTTCTAAATGTAATGCCTTGGGCTGAGATTTGTGTATTTTCTCAATTAGTCCAACTTTCCTTCTAGGTAATATCGAAGGGAAGACATATCCAGGCTAGCTGGGGCTTTGAACAGCCTGTTCCAGTGGGAGGTGTCCCTGCTTATAGCAGGGGGATTGGAACTACATGATCTTAAACGTTCCTTCCAATCCAAACTATTGTGTGACGCTACAGTCTGGATAGGAATTTTCACATCTGTCTCAGGGCTTCCTCAATGAAGTGGTGTGGCTTCGTTGAGTACAAACACGGAATTAACTGACCACTGACCGCATGTATCCAGTTCATCTTCTACTAAAGGCATTTTCAGGGGGTGAATGCTAACTGACTCTGACTTCTTTCTCCAGAATATTTAATAAAGCACATGCTCAAAAGCAGCCCAAAAGCTACTATAAAATGGATGTTTTTCATTATCCATTCAAATTACAACAGCTTTCCACTCCACATAATTCTCCCTAAGTCTTTTTGTGTTGTTCTTTCCAGGTCTTTTTTAATGTATAAATTTCACAAACTTTCTAACCCCTCTGGTCAGAAGAAAACTGACTTAAGATACACTGAAGGACGTTTGTGTTTTCGCTCTGCAGTGAATAACAAACAGTAACACAAGCTTCATTTTTCTAAACTGACAGAACCCGGCATTCTCACAGTAGCTCCAGAGGACTTCATCAAGCAGTACTTTCTGCCTGTTCTCCAAACAAGAAAAATGAACAGGCAATCCTGTAGGCTTTTTTCCAAAACATCTGGGAACTGCTCAGGAAAACCTGAAGAAGCAGTCAGCATGAAGATGTAAACAAAAATTCTGCAGTGCACACAAGGGTAGGTTCAACAGTAGTGTGTCTGGCACAACTAAGGGACTAACAGACAGCTCAACTCACGGCTAGTGCACAAGATGCTGAGTACTATCCTCTGCTATTCCCACAGTATGAGGGAGGGAGCAAAGCACCCTCTTCATATATTTGCTGTAGTGACTTTTTTTTTTGTTAGGATCTAGCTGAACATGGTAAAGCTCAGTCCAGTTCTCATATAATAAAAACACCATAAAAGTAAAGACCAACAAGCATCGCTACATAATCATTATCTTCATTAAAATACAACTATAGGACTTTGTATCAAACTGCTTCATGACTTTTACCAAAGTCAACTGCTGTGAGCAAAGAAATCCAGTCTGTAACGTGGAGCACCACCATTTAAATCATAATATCCCTAAGCAGGACTGAAAAAATATATGTACTTTCAGTCCTGTGGATATGTTCAAACAGCTAGTTCAACCTTAATTATAACAGTTCCTGTTACTTTCAGCAAGATGCACACAGTGCTTAACCTATACGCATGGAACAGCTCATCAGGGAGCACAAACAATTCCCAAAGGCTCTGGTAAAGCTAAGATTGCATTAAAGCAGTCTAGAATTATGCCCAAGGAGCGTGTCAAAGTAACTCCACTAAGAGAGATCACTGCTAAATGCTACTAACAACCTAAAGAATAAATGTAGCATACGTGGAAAGCTGCTCCCTTGAAAAGGCTCTTTATAAATTTTCTTCTGTGGCTTAGAGTCACATTGGAACATATGCACACACTTTTTAAATTAAAAAGATTTGTGCATTTGTAAAGTTCAGATTATTCCTCTTTTGCAACTAAATAGCCCCTTTTAGTCTAGGCTACATTTCTGACAGTGAAAAAGAATCTAGCTGTTAGATTACCACTTGTCTTCATCAATTCCTTAAGTGACTCTGGCAACTGAATCAAGGAGATTTTTTTCTCCTCAGCTCCATCTGTTACCTGAATCCACGGCCATCTGTCATTTTCTGCAGCAGTCCAAGCATTCACAAGACCCTTCTTATTAAGTCGTGCATAGTATGGATACCATTTCTGGAGTCCAAAGAGAGCTCGATGAGTGGATGATGCAGTAATTTGTTGGTTTGACACAATTCCTCCTTCTATCCCTAGTGGGCCAGAGCATCCTGTGGAAATAAGAAATGTATGCAACTGAAATTATTATTTACTCTTCTGAGTCCCAAATGGCTCTAATTACAAATAGTGTACAAATAGATTCAGAATAGCAAGTCAAATACCGTATGAGAAGAGACTTACAGTACTTCAACAGCATTTTCTTTCTATAAAGGCTAAAAAAGTGCACAAATATTTTGTATATAATATTCCCATTACAAACATAATGAAGTAGGTAAAGATTTCAATTTTTTTTGAAGTTTGTTATCTCTGAAGAGTTGTTTCAGTTCTACAGATACCAACATGAAGAGAATTATTCTTAGATTCAAATACTGAAATAGTTGATAAAAGCAAACTCAAAATTCTGTAATTATAGTAAAGTTCATATTCCTTGTGCAGTGAAAGTCAGCATTTAGCCAATGCACTTCAACATTATCACTGCAGCCATCTCCAGAAATATGAATCTAGAAATATGGTATTGTTCAGCTACAATGAAAATAGTTAAAGGTTTTATACATCTAATAAGCAAACTACAAAGTATGTAATTAACTGTAATGTTCAAATGCTCCAATTTTATGAGTAGTATTCATCCATAACACCACTATTCAAACACTTGTATATATAATCGCTTATAGTCAAGATTTTTTTTGCATATGTTGTTTTCTGAAGCCAAATACAAACTGAATTGCTGCTTTATTTACAGGAAGCTTTGTGGTTTTTTGGTGCTCTGAAGGAAGAAAGTAAAATCTCCACAGGTGAGTTCCAAATGCATTAGTTTTTAAATGAGAAACTTGTTTTGTTCTCTTTGCCCCACTGAAATTAATGACTGACTTGCACCATACTGTGCTATGATTCCAGCCACATTTTTAACAGTCCACTAAGCTTGTCAAGTTTAAAGCTCCTATTCTACCTTTTTGCATCATGTGTCACCCAACAACAAAGGTGGTGCAATCAGCACTTGACTAATGGCTCTGTAAGTGCCACACACAATACAACAAAATGCAGCTCCCTCTCCTGCTGCTGTGCCAGATGCACAGCAGTGCCAGAAGAAAACAAATTCCTTGTCACCAGCACAGGCAAGCACGCCACAGAATGCATTAAAACGAAACAATGTCTGTTGTGAAGCTGTCATTTTTCATTGTTATCAGCTGTTACTTAAAAATTGAAAGACCTATTTAAATGTAGCTCTGTTTTTGAAATCTTCTCATCAACTCATAAAATTCCTATGGCTCATAAACTGCCATTCCTGTTTTCAAGCCAGAAGGAAATCTGTATTTTCAAATGTAAATGGCTTACTTTCAGAAGTTTTTGATATTTACTTATAAAAATACTTTTTCCATTTCACAATGAAAAAGAAAGCACACCCATACATATCTGAAACACATGCAGGTGTACACAGGACCATCCTGAATCCAATCCTCCTAACAGACTGATAAATATTTTAAACTATACATCTAAGGAAACATTAGAGAGATCTGTAAGAGGAGCTTAAAAAGGCAGCATGGAGGCATGGTAGGTATTCTAATATGGATGTGGGACATACAGCTCTGTTTTGCTTCTTTCTGACAAGGTGCACAGGGATGAGGGCACATGCTTGCTCTGCTAGCATGATTCAGTGATCTAGTGGGAAAATGGCATGCATGAGGAAAGGGTCTCAGCATATATCAGAGACAGTTCTGAACAGGCTGGAGGAAAAGAGTAACTGGCCTTGGCAGATAATTTTCAAAACAGAACACTTATTTGGTTTTAAGACTCTCAAGTCTCCCATAGATGTCCCAGATTTGGCAAATGACACATCTATTTTTTTTTTTATATTTATTTTTTTTTCCCCTCAACAGCCTCTGTTTAAGGTGCAGAACTGTTTAAGTCCTGATCTGAATGAATGTTTGTTCTCATGCTTCAGATGCGATAAATAGTACTTGAAATATGTGTGATTTTCTTTCAAGAGACTTGAATTTTCTAAATTGAAGGCAGTCAAATTATCAAGGCCACTTACTGTGTTTTGTCAGCTATGGCCATATATGGTAAAAGTGTTTACCTTCTCCTAGCTTCAGGAATATTGCTTATGAAATCCAAAGCAACTTGTTACCACCAGGGAATAGGTACTACACTACACAAGCTACTAATTGTAATTGCAGTTCCAATCCTGGTTTGCCATATTTATTAGTTTACAGTGTGAGTTAACCCCAGGCGAACTACTTTTAAAGAGTATTTAAAGTGTAAACTAACATGTTAGTGATACTCTATAGTTTGTTGTTCAGTTCTGTTCAGCTCAATCCTAACAAAATGAGTAAGAAATTGGAGATAGATAGTAACTTGAGTTGATAATATTTTCCAAATAATTTCTTACAATGTAATATACAAGTTTATATTAGTAAGATCTGGTTTTAGATCTTCCCCCTCCCCCTCCACCCCCCGCCCTGAATGACATTAGATCATACTCATTAGGTGAGCACTTTTGATTAAGTTTGATTAGGGTCCAAACCATAAGACTTGCAATGCAACCCTACTCTTCGACCAAAGCAGTGCTGACAAATTACAAACATTTCTAGGTGCATGACTGACAGATGGGCCTTGAGGAAGCTCACCTGTAGCTACTTCCTGAGACATCAGATACCCCCACATATATAGTAATGGACTGTCTTCTTGAGATGTCTTACCTGAACTTGACAACACTGACTTTCATCTTCCGTTTCACAGCCACAGCAACTGATATTTCAAGATCTTTTAAAAACTCTTCAGTACATTTTATTAATGCTAAGTGTATTTCTTAAATCAACATTTAGCTAGCTAGCTCCTCTAGAAGGATACTGAACAGCTGGAACTTCTGCAGTGGTTTTGCTATAACTCAACAAGTAAGCTACTTCCATTGTTAACATTGGCAATTTTGCCAGTCCTTTCCTCTTTATTATTAATCAGACATTATTCTACAAGAAAACTTGTTAATTTTTTCCCTTTTATCAGTTACAAGGAAACATCTGAAAACATCCTTATACTTCAAATACTGCAAAGCAATTGGACTTTCTTATGCATATGCTCATTAACTTTTACCAAATACTCCAATAACTTCATGAGTCATGCTGCCTCTTTCCAAAAGCTATAACGAGGCTATTACATTCTAAATTCCCAAGAAATTTACTTTGCCTGAAAAGTCTAAACTGAATAACCTGCTTCTGGTGCCATCAAATATGCTTCATCAGTGACTAACTGCTTTCAGACTAGCTGCCGCATGAAGATATTTGGGACAGAAAGAGTATTTTTCTTCAAGTTAAGATAGCAATTATTCTTTTTAGCACTTCATGGCTGTGATACACCATTGACTACTAACAATGAAGGACAAAAGCAAATGCAGCCTTTGGAGATTGTTTGTCTTTTATTTAAAACTAAGATATATCTTTCTGCAGACAGGTACAAGCTGTATTATATTCTGTTGTTTTATCTCTGCTACTATTATATCCACAGTTCATTTAACAAAAATCATGACAGCTTGGCAAACTGCAGTCTCCAAGGGAGTAATAATATCACTGCAGGGACTGCACAATTCAGTGTGGTCAATGTCAGTCATTAAATAGAAAACCATTTCTGTTAATTCTAGTACACTAGAGTATGACAATCAACTTGATGTAAGAAAGTTAAAAAAATAATCAAATAGTAGCAATTAAAAAAGCTGTGTGACAGGTTCATGATACAGATTCTCAAGGAATATTTTGTCATATGGAACTCTTAATGTCATTAAATAGCAAAACTCTATCTGCTTTTAATATTAACAAAATGCTAACTTGCACTATATTGCTTTTAATCCTACAGTAGCAATTGCAATTCAGTAAATAAAACCTGACTGATAACTCTCTTAATCTCATTTAACACAGACCTATTCCACAACAAACCACTGTCCATAAAGATGACACAAGTGCAAAGCTGTACAGTAATCTACAAAGATCTAGTGAAAGACAGAAAAGACAGCATTACAGGAGAAATTAAGGATTCTTTTATATCTTTTCATTCTTCTGAAAAATCCCCACCAAACCATTTGAATATAGCATGGCTATAGAAGTCCCTTGAGGATTTCTTTTATGATCTCATATTTACAGGATCTAAAATACAACACACCAGTTTGCATCACAAAGCAATTAATTATTAGATGAGATTGAGTAAACATTGGGTATTTGGTTCAAACTGATCCTCAGATTAAAGATGAGTATTGTGTCTATATCCTAATCTATTAGAAGAATAGCACATTAAAAAAAAAAAAAAAGAAAAAAAAAAAGGAAAATATAACCTGATATCACTGATGTCTCTCAAGACATAAACTGTAATAAGGAGATATGTCACTTATTCCCACTCTTAACAGGAGAAGCAGAACTCATTTCAAGATAAATAATTACTACTCTAGGAGATAATAAGCATAAAGCACTAGGTAAACATGTTGCTTGAGTATATTTAATTTGGACAACTACATTTATGTCAGTCCACAAATTAAAAAAAGCCTCCAAAGGATTTAAAAATTACTTGAAAATATGAGGATTATGCCTCTGCAAATAGAAGAAAAAGATTTTCTGTTATTGACAATGAAGCATGTCTGGTTCTGCAGCATAAATATATATCTTTCATTTCCTCTGTTGGTTTGTCTTTACCTAGCGTCATCAAAACAAACAGATGCAAAATTGAAGGCATGCAGAAAACAAATCTGCTTTAGACATCTGCAAGCCTGTCTTTCTCCAAGCTCCTCATTTTCTGGAATGAGATTACTCTGGCTGTGCTTAGCATAGCACAGTAATTGTGCTAAACATAAATCCTGACAATGGGATTACAGATGACCTCTGATAGTGCAGTAAATAAAGCTGATACATGCATAAGTTCCTCACCATGAAATCCAGGTTTCAGCCTTCAGCTTCTTCTTCTTGTTCCCCATGCCATCCACACAGCCTTGCACAGCTTGTTCTGTCAAGGATAGGTCTCTTCGGATTATTATGTATATGTTTTTATAGGAGCTAGCTAGATGAATATGGACAAC